ATTCGATTTTCCGGTGGGCGTTGTGTCAGAATAAACCGCACACTTTCTAAGAATTTTTAGCTCGGGCTCAACAACATATTATAGCTGAGGAATCCATGTATGTCCCCGACTTCAATTTCACTCTGAAACAACTTAAATTGGGTCAAATGGGGAAAGCAAAAAGAAGAACAAGTCTCTCGGCGGAAAACAAGCTAAAACCCAGTTCGGAGGCTTTCCGAGAGGAGATGCAAATGATCCCGAAGTCTGAGCTGCAAGAAGGCAATATGCCAGTGATCTAAAATCGGGGTATCAAACTGTGTATCCGGCTGGGGTCGCCACGATTTATGAAGAACTCAAAGGGAAAGGTATTCTACATGCACCCAAGCCTCTCCGAGTCCCGGAGGAACAGTTGGACAAATGTCGGCATTGCGATTATCATAAGTCACCATGGCACAATACTGATGAACGCCTAAGTCTTTTAGATGCCCTTTTAAGATTGATTGGCCATCCTCAACTCCGAAGATTTTCCAAAAATCCCGACATCAGAAGAACGGGACCAGTACGTCCAGTGGAGTCATACGATGATGATGAAGAAGATGACCGAGGTGCCATGCCGAAGAGAATACGACAAGGAGAAAAAAAAAGTGTTTATGTTCACCTCAGGTATATCCAACGCCGAAGTAACTCCTACATCCCGGCAACTCAAACGAAGTCGATCTTCAAGTCCACCTTGTACTTTGATTCATCGAGTGAATAACAATAATACCCGAGTTGTTTCTTCCCGACGACAAATTAAAGCTTATGCACAATAGGCTTACAATTCGGGTAAACAAGTTTTCACCACCGACTTGAGAGATGTGATCAATGCCCGAAATTGTCCTATCACTTTCAGTATTGAAGATGCGAACTTGTTCGCATATCCTCATTCTTATGCCTTAGTCATTACTGTCCCAATATGCGGAATTCAAGTACACCGAGTCATGGTCGTCACAAGGGCCTACTCAAGCATCTTAATGTTGAGGGCATTTGATAAAATGGGCCTAGATTCCGCAGACATTAAACCTTGTAACGATCAGATACAAGGATTCAATGGAAGTATTTCTCGGCCTATCGGAGAAATTACATTGCATGTCCGCTTCGGTGTCCCAGGGCGAGCAACCAAGCTTATCATGGAAACTTTTAAAGTCCTCGACATCAATAATGAATACAATGCTATCATGGGGAGGACTGCTCTTTACAAGCTCTGAGCAACTGTATCTATATTCCATTATGCACTCAAATTTTCGACAACATTTGGATAAGACACTCATTACGGTGATCAGAGAGAAACTCGAGAACTTGTTTTTATAGCACCTACTGCTGAAATCCAGTCAAGTCAATCAATTGACAAGAGGGATTCCTCACCCAAACCGTGTTTTTGATAACCGAAAATCAATTACCGAATTCTAGTCGATCTGGTTTCGGTTCCTATTTTAGAGTTACTGCACATATCAGTTCGGTATCAATTTTTCTTATATGTACCAGCTTGTTGATGTATAAAAATATTACCAGCAATGTTACCGAACATGTTGCTTGTTCGACCACTTTATGGACTGAGAGCAGTTTAAAGATCGACTTAGACTTGGTCGAATACAAGAGCCTCTATGTCGATCTTTAAACTGCTCTCAGTACATAAACTGGTCGAACAAGCGACATTTGCTCGACAAGCTAATTTTTTATCAAATCCTTCGTGGACCTCAAACAGACATATTCTACTCTTCTTAAGAATCCTTTGTAAACCGCCTTCTAATTCAAAGACTCTTATCTCTATGACTTCTTACGAAATTTCGATAAGTTAGTGTTAAATAAATTGAATACCGATTTTTTTCTTTTTGAAATATCAAATAAATACGTAAGTTTTTTTAGGGCATATTTAGTATATTTAATTAAATAACTAATTTATAGCTGGTAAATTAATTGATGTCCTGAGTCTATTTGCAAAAAACTAGTCAATATGAAAAACGGTTGGATAAGTGAGGCGAAATAAAAAATTCAAGTTCTTTCTTTATTTAGAGAGGGAAAAAAAAAAAAAAGAAAGAAAAAAAACTACATATAGAAGTTTATAAAATAAGCTTGGGATTTTAAAGAGTTTATCAACCAAAATATATTTCTTTGAATACAATAAAATTATTAGTTGTTTGAAAACAAGTAAGAAGATAATTTGTGATGCTTATCAAATACATTTTTAAAAAATTTAAAAATTCCAAATTTAACTTAAATTCATAAAACTATTTCAAAACACTGAATAAATACACCTTATAAGTCTAATATGATTCGGAATAGAATCTATACTTATATTAAAAGTTATACTATTTACTAAATGTAGTATGTAGAATAGTCAACCCTAATTAATGATTTGCTATTTTTATCAAACATTTAATTAATGCATCTAATATTTTTGGTATGTAAATCATTTTAGCATTTAATTAGTTCCTAAAATATTGGGTACGCAATATTAATTTAAGAATATCTACGTAGTTCTTAAAATGTTGGTATGCAACACGTAAAAGAAGATTTTTTAATTTTTTTAAATATAAAATATTGCAACACGTAAAACTATTCCAGTTATTTTTTATTTTATTTTACATATAAAATCTAATCAATATTTAATGCATCCTACAAAATTGGATGGAAATAAAAAAATACGTAAAATCTTACTAAAATAAAAAAGGCTTTATTTATTATCAAATTTATTATATAATTGTATGAAAATTTGTTCTGATTTTATGGTACGTACCACAATTGTGCACTCGTGTTCAGGAGCTACTTAACGGGCAAACTCTGTGGAAATAACTCATTTAATGCTTTTGTCTCGTGCATATGGTATGTATTTGTATTACACATACTAGAAAATTGTGCACCCCGTGCATCGCACGAACTCTGTACTAATAAATGACCTTAAAATTTTGCACCCCGTGCATCACCCGTGTTCACATTTTGGCTTATTACATGTCACGTACTATATATATATCCCGTACATTTTTCTTTATTCATTTAAATAATTATAAGACTTGATAAATAACTTTTGTGCACCTGGTGCATCGCACGGGATCTGTACTAGTATATATATTAAAAGTCAACCTATTTACCAAAAATAGTAGCAAGAAAAGTCAACACACATTTAATGCATACATTTTTTTTACTATATGCATTAAATGCTTGCATATATACATTTACTATCCATATATGATCTTAAAGATTTTTTCCTTAAATAATTTTATTAGTTTATGCAATAATTTTACTGATATCCATTATAATTAATATTTGTCGAGTAATATTTTTTAACCTTTATTTAATTATATAAAACTAATATTTTCTTAAAAAATTAACATTATTTATCATTTAAAAGATAATGATCACATCATTAAATGATTTTACTGATGGCTAGATAATAAAATTATATTAGTTATTCTGTAAAATTTCGACATGTTATTTATTTGTATATTATTGTCAACTATGATAGTGTTTTTATCACTTTTTTTTTGTTATGTTTCAAAAATGAACTTATTGCTAAATATTTTTCTATTCAATAGTATGTTAAATAAACTATAAAGCCTTAGGATGAAAATTAGAAAAAATCTCTTGATTATGTAAGGGATTTATTTTTTGGCAATTGCTAAATTATTTTTAAAAAAAGAAAAATTATTATGAGAAAATTGAATTCTAAAAAACATGTGTGTGTATTTTGTAAATATTTATAATCAGAATTTTATTTTGAATTTCATTACATAAAGAAGACTATTTCTATAACTTTTATAAATAATAATAATGACATTATATGACTATAAATTTTATAATAAAATAATAATTGAGTATTATATGGTGAACAAGAATAAATAAAATTTTTATTTTTTCTTATATCAATGAATAAATATATATTCTAAAATCAAATAAATATTAGTATGACGTCTTAGCAGAATTATATGTTAATTAATAGGTTAATTTTTTGGCTTAAATAAACGTCACTTATTAAAAGATATGAAATATGGATGATCCAAGCCTATTATTTTTTTGTCTAGACGTACAAGTCCTATAGAAATAATTGATTTATTATATGTATCACGTGCATCGCACGGGTATGCACTAGTTCGATTTGATTTCAAAACTAAATATAAATAACAAATTCATAGTCCAAAAGAAGTCCAAGTATGAACGAATCTGGGTTTGTCTAACGGTTTTTCTAATCCTAGTGGGGAAAACATACTCTATAACAGAAAATCTAATTAAAGATTTTTGAATAATAATTAACAGAAAAACATACTCAACGGTTTTTGCTGATTTTCATTTAACTTTACTCGTAAAAACAATTTGATTTAATTTAATTAGTTAGTCCAGTTGTAATTTGCCCGCCCAAAAGTGGTCACGCGTGTCTCCACGCAACCTCATCACAACCACGCTTTCTTCATAAACTTATCCCACCTTTCCCCCTTATATTCTTGAAATACGATTTCAATGCAAGAAAACAAAAGAATATTTGTCAAAAAAAAAAAAAAAAAGGACAACTACCAATTTACCACCAGTCAAAATTTGTCCATTTGATTGTCATAAATCTATTATTATTTCATAATATTTATATTGTAAGTTTTTAATTACTCTTCTTGATTGAAAATTAGACATTTTTTATCATATTTATTTTTTCTTAACCCACATACTTTATTCGTCTATTGAATTAAGCTCGAACTTGAGCATATCATCGAGTCGATCTCGAGCATAAGTTTCGGAAGGGAGCGGCTCAAGACATGTAGTAATTACTAAAATGCTAATGGTTGAGCGTGTTAACAACATTACAACAACAATTATCCGTCCATAAACTAATTATTTTCCGGCAAATTTTTCAGTTGATTGACAGACATACGACTCAAATCACATAAATCCCAGCAGTGAATATCCTTACAAATACCTGCTGCTACAAATATTAAACCCAGAAAGAAACAATGGGAATTCTGAAGGTTTTAGCCTTCAGGCACCATAATCAAAATGCTTCAAAATATAGTGAAATACTGAAAATATAAGCAGCTACGCGCTTTCAAACCCAAATATCCAAACACACCTGCACAAAGAAAACGTTCAAAAGTTCAAATTATTTCAAATATATCTATTAAGAGAAACAAGTCGAGTAATTGTTTTGATAGAGAGTACCTTCATCAGCCTGGTATTTATTTTTATCGTCCCCTGCATATGCAAGCAAGTTATACTTTGGATTCCATTCGACACTGTTCATTGCGGCCCGGCAAGGGATCTGGTGAACCGACCGGCCCGTTTGGACATTGGCCTGTGGCACGAAAAAAAAAAATATATATATATATATATATATATATGATGATTGCATGAGGGTCTGCATTCTGCTGGATAATTTTTGACAAATCACAAATGATAGTAAGTTTATAAATATTTACAATATCAATGAACAGATCCTCGCTGGCCGAAGCTATATATTCTCCAGTGTGATTGAAACTAATTGTCCGAGCGGGCCATCTGGTCACATTTATAGAGGAAAAAAATATGTAATAGTAAAGTGTGCTAAAGGATGCAGGAAAAAAAATCCACAACTAACTCAACGAACAAGTATAAACTTACTCGAGTTTTGTGAATGTAACGTACACAGAGCATCTCTTTTACATCCCAAAGGCTGACTACAGAATCAGCACTCCCCACAGAAAAATATCTGTACCCAGAAAAAAAAAAGGGTTCCCATCAGCAAGTCCGAAAAACGTAAATAAATAATTTTTCCTGCCACGCTTATTCTATTTGATCTTATTTTCAAAAGGTTAAAAAAAAAGAATTACAAATGGAATTGAGATTGCACCTTCCCAATGGGTCAATTGCAATGCAGTAGCAGCCTGCTGTGTGGGCCATAAGGGTACTAACGGCACGAAGTGAAGGGTATGAAAGCACTTCCACAGTACCTAGAAATGGACCATAATCATGGGGCTGGGGTCATAAATGTCAAAGCACATTAAAAAACGGCAAACTGGAAAAAAACCAACAAAATGGGACGTTCATCCACAGAATGAATTTATATCCTTACCATTTCCGGTAGTTAAAAAGAACATATCACCAGTTATGTTCCACGCAATCTCATTCACCTGGATAAGCCAACAATGGCTGTTATGAAAAGAGTTTCCTATCTAAATATATATGACATTAGTACAATTGGATGGCAAGAAGAAAGCAATTTTGAACCAAGTAAAAATCGAACTATAGATGATGACTTTCATGCAGCAGCTGGAGTAATTTAATATGAAAGGCTTTTTAATGCACATAATTGTTTCACTTGTCTGACATTTACATTGGGAAAAAAAATAACGAAAAAAGATTTCAGAAGTTCAAGGGGAGGCCAACAACTATTGAAGGCACAGAAAACACTCAGCGGGAAAGAACGAACAAGCAATCAAGATACTGAAAATGATTTACAGCCAGCTTAGTAAAGCTGATAATAATGAATATCTTTTAAGTTTTACCTCATAGTTGAATTTGCGCTTATGTATGGGCTTGAATTTGCGTACATCCATTATGGTTAACTCATCATCCTGGTTTACATCCAAGAAAAAGAAGGCAAGAAAAAAGCGCGAGGAGAAAAAGGAAAAAAAAAAAAAAA